AAATGAGAGCGATTTATGCTTCAGAGGGAAGACCAAACACCAGAAACTCTTATAAGGACTAAACAAGTCGCTGATTCTTATGAGATTCGCACTTCACTGTAATGTCTCTTTCATAAGTTATTTCTGATTTAGCATGACAACGGTTTTTCCAATGTTCGTCGGAAGTGTAATTACACCGTTAAGAAGCGAAATTGGTAAAAAGTTGAGTAGTGAAATCAGTACGCCATAAAACCTTGCTACACAATTTTACTTATTTGGAATTTTTTCATCAAAACGCCTCTTCTACGATGGCGTTACATGCTGAAAGTTCCTATCATAATCTCACAGTAATGAAGAGCGTTTAATGATTCGCTCCATATCGTAAATCTAAGTTGAATCTAACACTACGCAACGGTACCTCAAGCTCGGCGAAAGACAAGATATTAACAATGATGTGCATATCTTTTTGGGACACCGTATTTGTAATCCTCGATAATGGAGCTGCAAATCACACCAAGTTAAATTTTACCACCAGTGAGTGGTGTCGTGTCAAATAGAAGAAGTATAACATCTTTATCCGACTAGGCTTTTTGTCTTACTCAAAGGAAATATGTGATATTTCTGCAATTAGCCGAAATACCATCTGAAAGCTTTGGGAAAGCCATTTCTATGACCAGGAAGTCATGAAATCCAAAACCGCTAGCTTTTCTTGGAGCAGCAGATGCTCGCAGGTAAGCGGGAGAATTTGGTGGATTACGACGTCTATCTTTATGATTATTTGTACAACATTAAACTTCTAATGAGCAAAAAAAAATTCATGGTCATCTGAATCACAACAACGAACACCACCCTTTCTTAGGTTTGACACTCTCGCCTACATTAGTGGCTTTCTCGACGAGCTTGGGTGTAACAATTCTGAAATGATACTTTTGCACCTGCATTCATAAGAGATGGCTTGAGTTGACTCACCTTCCGAAGTAAACCGGCATTTTCTTCTTGCTATCATAAATGATGACTGTAAATGGGCAATTAATAAGCGCAGTGTTGTACAATGGTGACTGCTGGTTCATCTTCTGGCTGAAATATTATGCTTTCTTCGAGAAATTATTACACTTTTTGGCGTCTTACATATTGGATGTATCCGGCTGGTTGAATACAGTA